CAATCATCTATCTTCTTATCCAACATGTTTCTCTAAATGTTCTGAGGATTAGTTTCTCCATCACCTTTCCAGGTGCTGGAGGTGAGGCTGACAGGCCTATAATTCCCTGGGTCCTCCTTCTTGCCTGGTTTGAAGATAGGAATTATATTTGATTGCCTCCAGTCTCAGTTATCTTTTCCAAATGCCATTATTGTTCAAAGTAAATGACCTCTCACTGACATTAAACCACGTCCCTCAACACTTGTGGACACATCTTATCAGTGCCCATGTAGATCTGGTTTGTTGGATCAGAGAATTATGAGCCATGGCTACATGTGCTGGCCAAGGGACCTTATTATGGGACAGTAGTTTAAAAAAATTACTTGCAGTTCTCAGAGAACTGTTAGTTTCCACTCTAAAAGGCTGTACCCTCCTAACCCTTGTATATGAACAGAGGATACCTGTTGCAGTCTGAAATTCAGATACCAACAGAAAAGGAACTGCTGGGATTAAACAGGAAACCTTGGGCCACAGAGGCTGGGGAAAAAAACCCATAATCTAAAAGACCAGACAAGATCCATTGAAACTCATTTCATGTGGATTGTCCTGATCTCCCACAGCAGGAAGTAGAGAGACTTTGCATGATGCTATCAGATATCTCATTGTTTTCTCCCTCCCTGTGTAAATCCTTATTTTGGGAAAAGCTGACCACCCTTCCCCAGAATAATCTTGCTTACTGGAAATATCAAATCCTTTTTCCCCCAAATGTAAAATCTGGATCCGAGAAATGTAAATCCATTTTTTCTCTTATGTCACCTCGTTACTGGAAATGTTAATAGATTGTGGAATCCCCTGTTTGGAATAACCCTGCCTCCTCACTAACATGGAAGCCCCTGAGACCCTTAAATGGCACTTGCCTGTTCAACAAATCATTCCAGTTTTTGCTCCCATAACTGGGATCGTCATAGCTTTATTAGACTGTTACAGACACCTGCTGGACATGAGGAGGTTCTGTAATATGACCAGCAATTTCCATTTTCTCCATCTTGGTTTGAATACCATGAAAATGAATTAAGGAGAGTGAAGAGAAAAGGAAATTTAGAATCAATAAGCAACAAAAATCAGAAAAGAGAAAGAATGCAAATTAAAACAAAACAAAACAAAACAAAACCAAAACAACCCCCCCCCGCAAAAATAAAACCAAAACCAACCAACCAAACAAAGAAAAAACAAGAAAAGCAAGTAGAAAAAAAAAAACAAACAAAAAAAAACCCCAAAAAAACCATACAGAAAACATAACAAGCTTTCCTCTCACTCTTCCTAGAAAGAGAGTAATCCTAGTTCTGTTCCAGGTGAAACAATATTATCTTGACAGTAGGATTAGAAAAAACAGTGCAAGGACTAGTCAGAGAGAAAGAAAGAGTCCACTGGGAGCACACATAGATCAGTAAAGTGATGGTGTTTGCCTGTGTGGGACACACATCTCCTACACAGGCCCCTGTTGCAGGATCTTTTTCAATAGGAGTGGAGGTCAAGGCACAAAAGAAGTTCTGAGATACCACTAAGAGCTAAGTGCATGCTCCACTAAATAAAGAATGTTCTCTTCTAATGATGTGGTAAAGATAACACAGCATGTCACCTCTGGGCAGCCTCAGGCTATTGATTTGGTGTCCATGTTAGGGCAGCTGTTGTCTTTGCAGTTTGACATTGACCAAGCTGCCTCTGGGACGTGCACAAGCTATGACTCTCTTCCTCTAGCTTCTCCTTCACTCTCTGGGAAACCATGAGGAACAGAGTTTTGATCCGGGATGTACTCATTAGATCAGTATCAGAAACATGCATTCTAAATGCATTGAAAGTCATCAAAACAGGCTACTAGCTTCAGCAAAGGCCCTGAGATAGCAAATACAAGTGAAGGTCAGATGGGGAAGCAGACAAAGAATGCTCCTCCTGCTAATTGTCATTCTAATGGCACTGGTATATCCAAAGCCAAACTTCAGATTCTGGTACAATTTCAGCTCTGTGTGAGCAGGATGCCCAACAGAGAACACTTGCCACTATCTCCCAAACCTTGAATTCTCATGGAGCCATTGTCCCCTTTGCACCATCTGCAGCTCTGGTGGAAAACCACAGGACAGAAAGGGGAATCGCACTGGCGTCTTGGGTAATGATCAGGAGAGATGGGGCTCACATCAATGGGTAGGGGAGAACTTCTGCTTTCATTCTTTCAGTATGTGTACATTGTTCATGAAAAATTCTTAGCAGAGAATGCAGCAAATTTCTTTCTCTTGTGCATATGTTTCTTACTAGCAGGATTCCTTCAAGCTGAGCATAGACAATGTGTCTCAGTCCTGATATACTGACTATCTTAGCATATATTAAGTGCTCATCATTTTAGCAGCTAAGCAGTGTCACGTCCCATTTAGCACATACACAGCATTTTATAGAGCAGAGCACTGTAGAAATCCTTTTCCCTTAGGTTTTTCTACACACTCATTGCAGTGATATGCATCGGACCACTTAAAGCAAAACAGATTTAGTTAATTAACTCTAAGGGACTGAGTGGTTCCCTGACTGGAAGTCATAAGAACTGGTTTTGATATTATGAGTACCATTGATTAACTCTCGGATGCTGGACAATCACTTCATCTTTCTATGCTTCATTTTTCCCTGTGCAAAATGTAGAGAAATAAAATTTGTTTTCTTTGGTGAAGTGCTTTTGAGAGCTGTGAATGAAAAGAGTTATGCATCATCAGTGAATCATCAAAAAGGCCTGATGGGAGATTTACAGAAATAGCACTTTCCTCGCTGCTTCTGAAAAACTGAGCCACAAACAAGTAAAGCAACAAAGGGCCAAATCCTCACTGAGAGGAAGCATTGGAGATGGGATAAAAATTTAGAGTTGTCTGACAGCCACTTGTTCCTCTAGACCAGGCTGGCAAGATAGCATCTTTCTGTCATTTCTGTCCATGACACCAAGTTCTCATCCACTCAACTACTAGACAGCATGTCTTCCCTTCTCCATTGTTTGGTTTTTTTACCTGGTCATCCTCCTCCTCAGAAAATGGACATGTGCAACCACTTCCAACACCTGACAACTCCTGCAAGCTTCTCTTTCTGGTTGCAGGGATGTTTCTGTATGCTGGGCCAAATTCGCTATGCAACAAACATATGACTATAAACATCCTTCAGAGTACTTTTCAGCCTTACAGATGTTAAACACTGGTGAGTTTTTGCCAAAAGCATTGCCTTGGGAAAAAAATGGAACTAGCATGTTTTCTTTCATTCTAATTATAATTCTCTATCATTATCTAGTTTTATCTTATCCTTTCATTCTACTTAACACCATACAGTTGCAAGTCTCAAAGCTAACACACAAGTTCCACTATTCCGCTGTTCCACTTTGCTCTGTAGCCAGAGCAAAGCAAATAATGTCCACTTGTTAATTGATTATTCCAGCATATTTTTATAACTGAGGAATGGAAGTGGACAGAACTGAATTTCCTCAGATTATTTTAGTATTTTTAATAAATATTCTTTAAAAAAATTGTTCTTTGGACTTGATGGTCAATATTCTTAATTTTGACAATGAATGAGTGAGTATGGAGTAGCTAAATAAATTATCTTATTCTTTCTGTTCTACAAGTGATTCAGATAAAAGTACTGCACAGACATTCAGCTATGAAGAAACTTTAAAATTAGATTTTATTGTAAGAGAAGGGTGAGGGAAAAATGACATATGAACATTTACTACCTCTTATTTTGAGGCAGTAAAATTATATTTCCTCATGGTAAAGAAAATTATGCTATGGTTAAGAAGAAAATAACAAGGCCTGTTTTAGGATCTGGAGGCTGGGTACCGAGACTTAATGTGTGCCTCAGCTCTCCCCGATAGGCAGTAGGAGAAGGACAGAGTAGCCAGTGGGTAATAACAGCAAGCCTACAGAGGAAGTCAATGGCTTTGACTGTGTTTTGACCACAGTTTATACTCAAATTAGAGTCAAACCCTAAAACCCATTATTCCTCTACCAAATCAAATTTTTCTTCAGTGCTTCATGATGCTTGATGTGTTTGGTTTACTTTTCCATGAGGTTCTGACTTCTGCTGGTAGCTCACATACAGCCAAAGAGAGACTTCAGTTCAATGTATCTGATAGTCCTTCCTTTGCAATTAAAGGAAAGGAAAGGGTGGTTTCTAGGGATTCATCACTAGCATGAAGATACTATGTCAATCATTCTTATAATATAGAAGGAAAAAACAGTAATGCTGTATTCCTGTACTGTTCCTACACATTTTTAATCTCTAAAATTTATTGTTGCTTCACTGCAAGAGCAATTCTTGCTTTACATCATTAAAATTCAGAGGGGTTGTAGAACTGGAGGAACATAAGGAACATTTAGGGCTTGCATCTGAAATTATATCTATCTCTTCTTGCATTTAATATTGTATAAAACATTAATACAAAGTTGTCAGCCATTACAGTTGTGTAAAACAGTTCTTAGTGAATTAAAAAAAGAGGTCTTTTTATACAGGTGAAAAATCTCTTGTTAACAACCCCAGATCTTAAATCACAGAGTAATTAGAGTCTGTGTTATGGGTAGACAGCATAAACTTCCTCCCACATTGCTTCCTCTCTCAGTAGTGTGTTTCAATCCCACCTACAGGAGGTGGAAAGGGAAATTTCTGACTTCTAGTCTTCAAGTATTCCTTTCTTTGTTATGCATAGTAAGGAGTCTACTAACTGCAGTACTATTTTTTCCTTAATTGGAGATTTCACTGAAAACAGCTGTTGTTAGACAATGAATACTACAGAAATTTGTAATGTATTACTTTGGCAGAAAAGCGATGAACAGACAACAGGCAAACTGACAGATAGAATTTAAATTTGTCAGACACTACTAATGCTACTGGTGAGAGTGCTATCTCACTTCAAAGTCAAATCAGTGACCTAGCAGTAAAAGAATCTATATGCTGATTTCTGCCCCCTTGTCATCAGCAGAGGACCAAACAACTGCATTTACCTGTAGATCAGGACTTCATCATCCGAGCAGTTATACTGCAGCTGATACATTTTTACCCGAGGGGCCGACTTGCTCACTGTCCACTTGACCAAAGCTGAGGTAGTGGTCACATCTGACACCAGGACAGCCCTTTCTGGTGGGCCTTTTGTTTCCCCACGATTTGACTTGGTGGAGCTGGTGATGTCGGAGAGCCTGGATTTCGGGGGAGCTGATCGGCCTGTGCCATTGCTGAGATGGGGAAGCTGAACAATTGAGAGTTCAATTGTTGCAGTGGACTCTCCAGCAGCATTGGCTGCTATGCATGTGAAAGTTCCATAATCCTTGGAGGTGGTGATGAGTATATCTAAGGTGCCATTGTCATAGACAGCTGTCCTCGAAGAGTTTCCGATCAGACGGTCATCAGGGGCTACCCAGTGAATGATGGGAGTGGGATCCCCAATGGCTTTGCATTTCAGCGTAGCAGTTTGCCCTTCTAAAACCAGCAGCTTGTGAGTATGTTGTGTGATAAGAGGAGGCTCACAAACAAATTCTTCTTCCCGTACGTACCAGAAGTACCTTCCTTTTAGACCTGGAGGAGAAGCACAAGTTTCCATATCATCATCTCTGTCAAGTCGCCTTAACCACAGTAGCTCACAGTTGCAATGCAGTGGATTGCCCCCAAAGCTGAGAGACAAAGGTGGAGAAAATGGGGTAACGGCTAATGGAATTACTTGAGATCTGGCAAATATAGGGTCAGGGGGGAGCTTCTGCAGTCTGTTGGATGTTAGATCCAATCGGGCCAGTTTCTGAAGATCTGCAAATGTCCCCTCTGTTATATAATCTATCAGGTTGTGATCTAAACTGAGCTGGTGCAAGTTTATCATCTTTCTTATAGATTCCCAGGGAATGCTTCGGAGGTTATTGTAGGAAAGGTCTAAGTCTTCCAATGTCAGCAAAAAATCCTCAAAGGCTTCATCAGAAATGCTGCTTAGCTGGTTGTTGTTTAAAATCAAATGCTGAAGGTTAACTAAACCTCTCAAAATATCCTCTCCAATGTCAGGCAGTCTGTTGCTGTCCAGATGTAAAGACCGAAGGCTCTCCAAGTCAGTGAAAGAGTAGGGCTGTATGTAACTGATGGTGTTTCTGGACAAAGTAAGGTCAACAAGTCCAGACATATTGGCAAAATCTTGTCGGCTGATATTAATAATAAAGTTGCCCCCAAGACGGAGTTCAACAGTCCTTCGATCTATGTCCAGCGGCACAAAAAGGAGACCCTTGGAGGGACACAAAGTCCCCAGTGACTCAGACAGGTTCTGACAGACACAATATTTGGGACAAGCATTGACTGTGACAGCCATTCCAAACACCAGGATGCTGCAGAACAATTTTTCCATTGTAAATCACGCAACAGTACCTGAAAGAAATGAATAGAGATACAAGGAATATCAGCAGTTATGATATAAATAAGTTTCCTCTTATGTTTTACCTAACATCTACCTCCATCAAGACTTTGCAGTACCTCCTCTCAGGAGTCACACCTAAAGGCATCAGGACTCCAGGATGTGAAGGATAAATGTTATAGAAGCATGTTTCTCCAGGTAAAGTATTTTTTTCTAAAGAAAAAAGAGGTGAGTTTGATTCCAAATCTAAACAGGATAGGCATTGCTAGTCCTTATGCCTGGTAACAGGGTCTCATGACTGCCTATTTTCTAGTTACAACATTATAATTTTTATTGAGTGGCTGGTAGCAAACAAATCCCATCATCAGATTGCATGGCTTACTAAAAATCCTGAAAGATTTCATTTGGAGTACTGTCTGCTTCTTTGAGGGTAGGAGCTAGAAATATATACGTATAACAATTACTTACTGCTGCAAAATAACGAGGAATTAGTCTTAGGGTTGAAGCAGCTGATTTTATGGATAAAAATAACTGCATTTTTTCCCTGTCAGTAATGTGGTTAATAATGACAATGTAATTATCTGGCCAGTTCTGGGGCAAGTCACTTACCCACCCATAACAAAATTAATGATAGACAGGAGGAAGAAATTACTTGCACGATTGTCACCTGGATTCACCTGTGCTCAGCCAACCTATGGAAAGGATACCGCATCCAGCTCCTAAGAGAATGCATCCAGGGGAAATCTGTGCTACGTTAGTCTCCTGGCAAGATTTTTGACAACTTCGTGCTCTCGGACTGCAATTCATCTTGTCATAGTGACAGCGAAGTTCTTGCCTGCCTCCATGGCCCTTCCTTGCATCCTGCCCATTCATCTTTGCACCACTATTTCCCTTTTTTTTCAGCTCTCACATGCTTTTCCAGCTTGAACTGTAAGGTATCTGTCTTTGAAGAATAAACTACATGTATTTACAGGCTGGCTCACAGGGCCAGTTGTGACTGGGAAAAGTCGCAGCCCTGCTTCGGGTTTGGGAATATCTACTTACACAGGTTTGCTGACATTCTCCCACATGTGGAGGACATGGGTAAACTTGCTTTCTTTCTGTCTCTCCCTTTCACAGACCGTGCTATCAAGCAGGGCTGAGGAATGGGTAGATCATTCATTTCTAACCCTCATTCTCCTCCTGAGTAAAGCAGCAGGGAGACAAAGAGCTATATTTTTGTAAAGGATCCCTCAGGTTTTTTTGATAAGATGATGTGCTCTAGCCTCCAAGATCCTCACCTGTGGCAGTAGCTACAGGCATAATTCAGCTTGTAGTATTCAACATAGCCATTTTGTCTCTCTTTAACCTACATCCACCACATAAACTTGCATTACTATCCTTGGTCTTTGGTATATGACATATCCCTTCTCAATCATGCAGTGCTCATAGGTTTAGGAGTTTTTTTGCACTTGTGTTTCAAGAGACATCATGGCACAATGAGAGATAAGACACCCTTGTGTTAATTGATTGCCCCTGTAACGCCTAGTCAGTGTATGCCAGAAAGTCACCAGTGCCTAAGCTAGTTCTGTAACTGCTATACGTATGATAGGATAACTCCAATAATTAGTACTACGAGGCCACTCAAACTCACAAAAAACACACTTCACAAAAAAGTTGCATCACAATTATTTACACTCCATCACACATCTGAAATGACAGTTATGCAGACTTTTTATAATAATTAAAAGAAAATATAAAAGTTATTAAACTCCTAGTAATACACACCAAATACAAAACAAAATCTATCACGAGTAATTTTTAAAAAACTCTTTAAACAGGTCTTGCTCTACTTTCTTGTGAAAGGAATGAAAACTGGGGCCCAGTGTTTGGGACTCTGACCAGAGGTTCCCAATCCCTCCGCTGGGTAAAATGGTTTGGTATCTCCTCTCTAGAATACATGAGATGAGTCAGAAAAAGCAGCTGTAGGAATGAAAGATGCTATGAGTACTGAACAATGTACAGTATGATCTTTACGGCAAGGTTTTCTGCATGATGTGATGATAGAACTATATACCATTATTACTATTTCATAGGGGAGGAAACGACTAAAGCATATGTTTGCTGAACTTTGCAAACAAGATGAAAGCCCACCTCTTACTGGGCATCCTTTTAGAAAGGATGGCTTGAGAAGAGTAATCGTACCTTCAATAGTAAATAAAAGGCTACTGAACAAAATGTTTGGAGATTAGCAAATGCATTATTGATGCAAATCTGTGGAATACTTAGCAATGAACTATAAATAAGCCTTACGTTATTATCAATTGGTAGTTTGCTAACAGGCAATTGGCTTTTTCAGTTTTAATTATAATTGTGTTCTGCAGCTTTAATTTAGTGTATTACCCTACCAGCTGAAATGATAAACAAAAAGAAGTTTAAAAGGGGGAGAAATAGACACAGTTAATTAGTAATAAGCCCTTTCATAGCTTCTCCCTCATCTACATTCCCACCCTCTGAATATCTATTCAAAAATGTGAATACACACTTACTACAGCAGTGTCTCCTTTAAGTGTCTCAGTTCTCTAACTACGTTTTTTCTGGATGCTGTTAAATATCATAGTGCTTTGGGGAGACAGTCGATTCTGAGCATCAGAGTGAAATGCATTTATGAAAAGAAAAAAAAAATGAGGGGCAGAACAGAATTTAATTACATAAAACAGGGACTGAAGCACTGAGAGGAGGATGTGAAGCAGGAGGCCTAAAAGGCAAAGTAAACCCTGATGGGGAAACCATCTGTGAATGGCTTGAAAGCACATCATCTGCCCCTGTGTGCTTGCACGTGTGCATGAAAAAGGCATAGAGTGCAGCATGTGCTTTTACCAGCAAGAGGAAAAATCAGTAAAAGTCTTACAGGGATGGAAATATCATGGCCACTGTCATTCCAGTAATTGAATACATTTGAAAGTATTAATGTAAATATTGTTTGTTTGCAGAGGAAATGTCTATCCTTTGTGATCTTTTGCTAGCATCATTATTTCAAGCTTCTGAACCTTGAGTGTTTCTGAAATGTAAACCTGAAGTGAATAGTTTGCAACACAACAAAAAAGGTATGAACCCAAAGGACTACTTGTAGGACATTGGAGACAAAAAATTACACAGAGCTCCTTAAGGAGAACATCGGGGGGTTCCATAGGACAAATAGTTTTCCTTTTTCTCTCTGGAAAGACAAAGCACTTGGGCAGAAGATGAGGTAAGAATTCAAAGAATAATAGAATCGTAAAATGGTTTGGGTTGGAAGGGACCTTAAAGATAATTAGTTTCAACCTCCCTCCCATGGGCAGGATCACCTTTCACTAGACCAGGCGGCTGAGAGCCCCATCCAGCCTGGCCTCGAACACTTCCAGGGGTGATTCCAGGGAATACTACATTTCTTGAGTCTGCACAATTATAATAATATCTTTTAAAATCTAAACCCTCCCACAAAATCAAGGTAATTGCTAGCTGTCAAGGGGGTGGATGTGTAATATTATTTTTTTTTTTCAGTTCTGGTAATTTTCATATAAGACATATTATAAAGTGTCAAGTTAAGGGTCTGTTTTTGCTGACCAGTTTTCTCACCTTGTTCCCAAAATGTCTTGTGACCTGCAACATCAAGAATTTTATAGGCTGCTAGTGGCAGTCTTGTGATAAGCTCACCATTCTGATTTACATTTTAAAGGTATCTATCAGCCTAATAAAGTATACTTCTCACAGCAAGTCAGTGAATCTGGAAGAGTTCCTGTCTCAGCCCAAGATGAAAAATAGCCCCTTTAGTCCTCTTAGAACAAGGATTGGTATGAATTAATATGTGCAAGAGCCATAAACCTTGGTGTTTTGTATTCAAATTTTCCTCATAAAGATACAAATTCTGGGATTTGGCATCTCATTTCAGCAATGTCTCCAAGGCATTTTTAAATTCTATATTCATTGAACTTTGCATATAAATTCTAATAACCTTTGCCTACCACAGCATCAAGTACAAGGTAACCGTCAGAAAAATATGCTGCACCATACAGGCTGGGAAAAAAAGAGACTAAAAAAAAAAAAGGAGAGGTGGATGGGTAGTGGCTCTGATTCTACTGTCTTCAAGTACCCTGGGACACAGTTTCCAGGGACTGTACGGGTGAGCTAATATACCTTTCTTCATTTTTTTTTAAGTGCTGTGGAGGAACTGAATTTTCTTTTCTGGGAGCTGCTCTTTTCCTCATTCTCAATGTACTCTTGTCTCTGTCTTAAGTGAACTTGTGTGAATAGGAAACCTAACCCCCAAATGCAGAGCTGGACTGCCCTGGAAGTAGTCCTAGTTTGGTAGTATTTAGGAAGAGTTAGACTGTAGAGGCAGATGTGTGTACGTGAAGATTTTAATTTTCACAGTGGTTTTGATCCTGAAGAAAAATAATATATTTGTAGCTTCTCTGGCAAAGATGTGGACGCCTGGCTGCTGGACAATATGTCTGTCTAGTGGCTTTAGTTTCCCTAGAGCACTAATATCCTAGAACGTGCTTACATCCTAGGTCCTAGGAAATGCAGCAAGATATGTTAAGTCCAGAAGAAACCAGGTGGAGGCCTGTTAGATCACACCTAACTTTTACTAGCTCTTTGCTGAAATGAAGACATCATCATAAGCCATTCAGTGTGAAAAAATGTCCAAAATTAGTCAAGCTTTTGAGATTCATTTTGTGACAAAATAAAACTTAGTGAACACATTCTGTGTACTTCCAAGCATCTGCTTGTCTGGCACTTACCCACAATACATTTGGGACATTTTCATCACTTCAGATAAAGTCTGAAGTGCAGAAGCCTCAGAAATATTTACTAGTCACACTTTTCAAGAATATAGAATATAGTAAATTTCATGAAAGCAGAGAAAAGAGTCTTCATTAGCTTTATGAGACTTCTGCAAAGGAAATTATACATCCTCTTGTTGGGCATCAAAGTATCCACATGGAAGACAGACATTATTAATATCCTGGCTACTGAAAAGACTTTAACTCGA